AGGGCTTGGCGTGCGCGGTTGCTTTGCAAGCTTGGGTTCACAAGTGGAATGATTGCCTTGAAATGCATCATGCTAGTTTGGTTGAGCAAGTGTCATGTTTGGTTGCCGTTTTGAAGCCACATGCGCAGCAAGGCGAGGCATGTTGGACCATGGTTTGCGATGCAATGGACATGACGGTGAAGCGTGCCATGGAAGAGTTGTCAGCTGATGTTGGACAGATGATTCGGCGGGTTGCGCGTGTTGCAATTTGGCAGCTTGATCCCAACCAGCCCAGGGAGTTGCGTGATCTTGAGTTGGGTGTGAGGGCCTGCAGGTTGACTGAGGGGAAGGTTGTTTGCCTTGATATGTGGACCATGCGACTTGCAGACATGAGCAGCTTGCCGCGCAAAGGCACGATTGTGTTGCACCTTTTCGCCGGACACAGAAGGGCAGGTGACTTACAAATGGCTCTTGAAGAGGCCAGCAGACATGCCGCCTGTGGACTTGACGAGCTCACCGTTCTCAGCGTCGATCTTGCAATTAGCTCTCAGTGTGATTTGCTTAATGAACATAACCGAGCCACTTGGCTCCGCCTCATCAAGGAAGCTTGGGTGGTGGCGGTTCTAGGTGGCCCTCCGTGCGAGACTTGGTCGGTGGCCCGATGGCGTGAGCTTCTTGATGCGTGTGGGCATGCAGGACCGCCTCCGCTTAGAGACAGTCAGCACCTGTGGGGGCTACAAACTATGACCGCAAGGCAACATGCCCAGGTCATGATTGGAAATGCGCTACTTACTTACATGTTCCAGGCCATTTTTGAGTGCTGGATTCAAGGAGTAGCGGCCATAATGGAGCACCCCGCCAAGGCGTGGTGGAGCCCCCACCTGGACCGGCTGCCGAGCGTGTGGGACACTTGGCCGGCTAGGGTCTTGACCACTTTGCCGGGATGTCAGTTGACCCACTTGAACCAAGACCAGTACGGTCAAGTCAGCAAAAAGCCGACCACTTTGCTGTCGGTTCACACCAGTGGGCTGGCAAGTGCTTTGGGTCGTTGGGCGCAGCCGCCCCCTTGTGCGCGTGTTGCTGACGGTGCCATAGGCTTTGAGGATGATGCCGGTGAATGGGCCACAAGCAAGCTTAAGATTTACCCGGAGCGTATGTGTCGGGCTCTTGCTGAGGCTGTGGTTGAGGCTGTGACAGGAGTGGTTGAGCGGTGTGGTGTTGAGACAAGCAATGAGCATTCTTCTTTTGACGAACTTGTTGAACAACACAAGGTCTCCTGGGATCCCTATCAAGCCCCCTCCCGACACCGGCATGACTGCAAGCTCTACGAGTGAGCTTGAATTCGGACGATTGCTGGTCAACCAATTTGGATGAGGCCAAAAAAAAAAAAAGCCCAAAGGAAAAAACGCCAACCGACTGGAGGAATTGGGCCCATTTTGTTTTTATGTTTTATGAGAAGCACGCAAAAAACACCCAGAGATCAGCTGGTGGCTTTTGATCTGGCCAGGTATCCTGTAGGGATCCCTCTTCCTTGGCCCAACTCCTATTAAACCCAACTTCCCAGGATTTGTCCAAGATTCATAGATTTGTCCACTCTGAAACTTGAGGCCCCAGGTTTTCCAAAAGTACCTCCAACAGCCTCCAGCTTTGCAAGGATTTGGATCCAAATTCGCTGAAGGGGAGTTTTGACCCGGCCCGAATGTATCCTCGAGCCCCTGTAGGACTTGGGGTGCCACTCATACTGTTTGTGAGGCCATGGGAAGACCTTTTTAGAGAACAGCCGTATCTGAGGGACCGATTGAAGAAGGATTTGCAGCGGCCCGCGCAATGGCAGGGCTGGCATCGGGCACGAGCACGAAAGCCTTGAGGTTTCACTTCCGAGCGAGAGGATTGGAAGTGAAGAATGCTCCCACACGTTTTGGAACTGCCGCTAAAATGGTCTTCCCAACAAAGTTTAAAGTCCAGAAACTCAGGAACTGAGCCAAAAACAACCTTGCGAATTCCAGAAATGGAGCCAAACATATGAAATTCAAGGGGGCCTCCTCCTTCAAAAGCCGGGCGAACCAAATCGTCCCGGGGCTCGGTCGCGAGAATCGCTGACTCCGCGCGCCTCTTCACATGTTTCACTTTTCTGAATCCGTGGGCGCAAGGCGCGGGATGTGCGAAACTTGGGGCTTCCCTATGCTTCCTGGAAACCAGCCGGAAGCCAAACGTTCGCCAACCAAGTTACAGGCTTTTTCATGGATACATCAAGAGTTTACCCCAAGGTGAATCCCTAATTTTCAGGTTTTTTTTTTCCACGACAGTCTTCGTTGTTTTGTTTTTCTTCAGTAAAACGCCCTCTCCACCCGGCCTCTGCACCATCAGATGCTCATGGCGAATGGCGTCATCCAGCGGTGTGAGCCCAAAACGATCGAAGGGGCTCAGGTCGAGGTTCGGGAAGTCCAGCATCTTCCTGAGATCCAAAACACGGACCCAGAACGCATCATGTCGACCCTGGAAAAATCAACCCTCTTTTTTCGGATGGGGGGGTGCCCCTCCAAACGTGATGAATCCCCACCAAAAACAAGAAACACCCCCATCCTAAAAAAAGAGGGTGATAGCTCCACATAGTTTCGAATAGTTCCTAAATAGCTCAGGTGCAGACATGGCTGGTAAACCTTCTGAATATAAATCAGAGACATGGCGAGAACCGAATGAAGTGTTTCTACCCTGCGAATCTGCAGGTGTGGACCGTTTTAGTACGGCAAATCGAAAGTTTGGGAGTCGAGGATCCCCTGGGAAATTGTTCACCTGGCCTCAGAAGGACACCATTGGAGCACTTTGGCGTCCCATGCGTGCGTCCTGTTGCCCCTTTTCGGGTGGTTTAAGCATGCTTTGGCAATGCCGATCTTAGTTTTTTTCGTCGTTGGTAGGGTGGTGCTTTAAAGGTGCATCTATGGAAGTCTGAAGCCCCTGTGGGACTCGTCGGCAGCCCAGCCTCAGTTGAACGCCCAACCTTCGTCTAGTTTGCTCCCCACCCACCTCCCCCACCCCTCAACCGTGCCCTCGGCCCCCTGCCCCGCCAGGCCGCTGAATGGTCTCGTAGTGACCATTCGACGCCGCCAGGTGCAGGGCCGTGCGGTTGTCGTAGTCGCCCAGGTTGGGGTCCACCTCAAGACCCAGGGGGCTAGATCAACACACACACACATGTATATCTACATCTACATTAAAAAAAACATATATATATGTGACTATATGTGTATGTATGTATACATACGCATGTGAATATATATATAGAGAGAGATATTATGTATATATATAGACATATGTAGATACATATATATGCGTGTGTGTGTGTGTGTGTGTGTGTGTATGTGTGTATATATGTATATCTATGTATATATGTATGTGTGTATATATGTATGTATATCTATATGTGTTTATATATATATATATTTATTTAAGAACATGCGTGCGTTTATATTTATATATGTGTGTTCTTGTATATATATATATATATACATATATGTAAACCTGCAAATGTACACATGTATAGTCTAACTGCATACGATTTCCATGTACATGTGCATGGGCGCATGTGCATTTATACATTGAACTCAAATGCAAATACATGTTCTGCAGCTTGCTGCCTAAATGGAAACCAGGTTCTAACCCCTTCAGGCTCCAAGTCTTGATCCATTTCAGGTCCAAAGGCGATGGTTTGCACTTTCAAGACCCCAGAAAAGCTTTGCCAATTTACCTTGGAAGCATACCCAGGTCCTCCTTAAACAAGGTTCTGCATACGCAGTCCCGTGTTCCATGTTGCTCCCTCGCACCCACCAAAACCAAGCCTAAAGCCTAAAGCAACCCCTCAACTAATCCATTGACGATACCAGGGTCGTGAACAACTACGCAGATGGATCCAAACAAAAGCGCCCCCGTGCCACAATCAAAACGGGGGGAACACCCCAAAGGTCAACAACTTCCTTCAGAGTGCGGATTTCTTTGAACATCACCATGCCAAGACTGGTGTCAACTAGTGAAACCAACCATCCATGCCGTGTTTGAGGGAGTCGAGGCATACCACATATACTCAATGGTCAGAACTCCCCCCCCAAATCTGCGCCAGTGTCGTGGTGGAACTTCTCTTATGCAGGAGGCTCCTCAACTAAATTGACAACCCCTACCAACCCCAGCTGAAGGACCCTCTGTGGAGGAAACCCCGAGGGGAGGGGCCCGCCTGGCAGAGGGGAACTCGCAGATTTTGGGCGAGGGAAGAAAAGAGTTCAAGGGTGGAACCCCCAACCAAAAGGATCCCAAGAAATCAGAACCAACTCAGAAAACAGCGATCAAACCAGAACTGACACACCCACCAGGAAAAATCGAAGAAACACTGAAACCCACTGAGACAAATGCACCAAAGAGCTAAAAGGGTGACACCCACCAAAAAAAAAGAAGAAACGATGAAACCCGCGAAGACAACTGCACCAAAACTTCTCAAAAGGGTGGACCTTCCCCCAGCCCAAGACTTCAGCCCAGGAGGCCCCGATCACATCCACCAGAAGCTCCAGCTGGGCGGTGTCTCCTTGCGCCGCCGCCTCACAGAGTTGGACCTGGGATGCAGGCTTCGACTGACCGGGTCCCACACCGGGGGCTTTAGAAGACATACTGTGGACGGACGAAATCCATTTCGCACCATCTAAGAAACCCTGGAACTATGATTCCCCTGTAAATACCAACGAACAATGGCTTCCCATGGTTTCAAAGTGGTGCAGGATTTCGTCCATCCACAGTACAACAACTTATTAGCTGAATTTCCCCACTTTGGTTGTTGGCTTAAGGGGTAGGGGTCTGGAGAAATACAGTGGATGGTGGCAAAATCCCTTCGCGACAACAAGAAATGAAACCATTAAGCAACTGATGAGCTGATGTACCCCTTTAACTCTGATTTGTGTGGCTCATCCTGGAAAAAACATCCCACCCCGGAGACCTTCCTAAACTGATGGTTGCGAAATCCGGTTTGCACCACCAGTTGGATTTGAAGCCATCATGTTTCGGGAATCTACGCTGGAGAATCGAATCATTCCATTCCTGGACGCTGCGATTTGGATTTCGTCTATCCACAGCGTGACATTTAAGCAAGTTGTTCAGAGTTGTTCACCCCTTTGTTCTGCTGTTTGCTTTTCCTTAAGGGGTGTGTTCAAGGGGCCTGGTGGTCTCCCTAGGACTCCCTTGAAGGAAATCTGCCTCAACCCCGCCCCCGCCCCCCCAGCGGTAGTTTGATAAAGCACAACCCAAGCTGCTGACTGTGACAAGCGGAAAGAAACAACACAATGACCCTACTTCGATCAACGCGGTTAGGTTAGAACGGTTTAGTGTAGGCCTCACTAAAGCCCCCATAAAGCCAGGTAGAGCCACGTACTAAAATTGCCAATGCTGGATTCTTACTTCCAAACGACTACATAAGGGCCAATACCGGAAACCAACACGTCCAAAGGTCGATTCGCTTTGGGCAACTGAGAGCCTCCGGCGACAAACACATCGCGTTCATGTTTTTTTTGGCCAGCGAACCGTTAATTGCAATGCCAGACATGAAGGAGCCCTCAGACTTTGAGTGTAGTTGAGTACCCCTCGCAAGCTGTCAAAGGAAGGCTCCACAACGAAACCCCCTGCAATGCCGGGGTCCCCACTGGGTCCCCCCCCCATTTTCAGACAAGCCCAAATCCGAAACACCCAAGTACCCGGCCATCGGCCCCAAAGAGGAAACTGAACAGGAAAGGTATGCGGGAGGGGGATGGTGGGCACATAAAGATGCTCCTTTTGAGGGAATTGGTTTATCATATTGTTTGTATATACTGTATGCGGGAGGGGGATGAGCTTGTTTTGCAATGTTCTTTTAGGACATTTGTTTATCATGTTGTCTGTATACACTTGAGAAGGCTGCAGCGCAAAGAAGGAGCACCCCAGAAAACCAGAAAGCCCCTTCCGGGCATCAGTGTGGCAACCCTACAACCCCCCCCGAATGTCTAGCTGACCCCAACAATGCTCCGAGCCGCCGCGGCGGAGATGCCGGTCTTGAACTCGGCATTGGCCTCGATCAGGAACTCGGCCACCTGCGTGCAAGGAACCCATGCCGCCGAACGTGCCAAAAGCTTTGAAGGAGCAAATGCCAAACGAGGAAAATTGTGCGTGTCCCAGTTGTGCCTGTGAGTAAGTGATTGGACCCACATTGATAAGATGATTGCGCCGTCTACTTTCACTCAAGTGTTCTCATGTGAGGCGATGGTATGTCCTTTCAGTTTCTCCTTCGAGCCCAAGCATCCATGCGAGATCCCTTCAGGAAATGGGGTCGACTGCGCAGCAAACCATGTGGTAGAGCAATTGAAAGGGCCCCTGCTAATCGCTCAGTGGTTTATGACAATTTCACCTTCACCTCTAAGTCTGTTGCTGGGGAAAATAACCACGGTTCCCTATGCTTAAACATCGCCGCTACCGAAGGAAGCTCACCTTGCAGGGTGCCCAAAAGGCTTTGAAAGGGGGGACGTAGGACCTTTGGCAATGTTGACCCCATATTAATCAACCAGTTTATTCAGAGGGGTAGTGCTGTTCCCTGGGTTTAGTAGGGAATCATCGCTTTTGGAGGGGCCCCCTAAACCTATCAATAAACTGCTTGGTTGATTAATCTGGGGTCAACCATCCTGGAAAGGGTTTCAAACGCGTCCAAAAAGGGGGATATAGGGACTTCTGGCACCTTGGTTGACGTTGCAGTGGCAGCAATAACTTAAATTTTAGCAGTTCAGTGGTTGGTTTTCAACCACTAAACCACAACAAGCAAAATGCCACATGTTTCCCAACAACCACCATGGCACTGGAAAGGGGATCTTTGTTGCGCATCCGGCGCCCTTTCTGTGCGGGGCCTCCGAGTGTCGTTCCCGCACGGCATCGTCAAGGGGTGTGTGCCCGAAACCTGAAGCGACGCTCGCCGCCGGGCCGGGCGACGCTCCGCGGCCCGGCCCGGCCGCGGTTGAGACTTGGCCCAAGGAAAACACGGGGACCTCTTCAAAGCAAAAGCCAAACCATGTAAAGAAAGTTTAGAAAGCTTGAAACTACATGTTTTAAGCATTTTAAATATAGTCGTTCTTGTTTTCTATGGCGCGCTTCACAGGCCTTCTTAAATACGGTCAACGTGTGTCGTTGGATGGGAAATTGCTAGAGGTGATCCCTTCTACCAACTTTCTATCCAAGGGTGGTTTGCTCATTATAGGTTTCCTTTGGTTTCCCTTTGAAACCACTGCACAAGTGTACCCTGAAAAACAAACATAGCCTTGTGAAGTTGACTTGGGACGTCGCAAGTGGATGCCCCCATTGGAAAGTGCCACGCAACTAGTACCTTCGCTATGTGAGCGCCTTTGGCCTCCTCGCGAACAACTCGACTATGGGTGCAGTCAGGAACCAGCTTTTTTCCGCACCGCAGTCGCTTTGAACGAAACGTCCTGTCCGGTCCGGACAAAAGGCGTGGTCTGGACTGCGTATTCAGCAGGGTAACCACCTCCAAACAAAGGAGTTCTTGCCAGTCCACGTGTTGCAAGCACGGCCCTACTTCATTAAACCCGATATTTGCTGGCTCCGATATACCCCTGCTGGCCTGCAAAGAATTACTATCTTACACAGCACAGTCACAGCCGTTCAAAGTTCAATTCACTGGGGTTATCACGCCTGAACTTGTCTGCGAGCTCGTTATGATTTGCCCAGAATTCGCATCCAGTGCAAAAAATGAAAGGAGCGCCACCGTGCTCCAACCCAAAAAAGCCACGGCTTGGTTATGGCTGCAGCCTCAGAAAAAAGCTCCGCGCGACATCTGGCCACACCAACCCCCAGCCCAGTCCCACCCCAGCGGCACTAAGTGACCCCGAGCAGCGGTCCTGCACCAGGAATTGGGCCCCGAAGTCGATGACCAGCTTCTCCTTGATGCGTACCCCTGCCCAAAAAGTGTGTATCCTTGTTGCATGCATGTGGGATTAATTTCCCCCAAAAAGGTAGAGGTTAAGGATGCACCCCAATGCCTTTTGTTGCCCAAAAAGTGTGTATCCTTGTTTCCTGCATTTGGGATTCATTTCGCCCCAAAAAGTTAGAGGCTTAGGATGCACCCCAATGGTGGCTCTCCTTTTGTCTTGCTTCTCAACCAACCTTGAAAAGGGTACCCTGCCAAAACCAAACACGAACTCCGCACAGGGGTCTCCAAGGCAAACAAATGTCTTTCCAGAATCCCTGTAGGTTCCATGCCTGCTTTTGTGAGGGCACCGAGGGGTGTCTTTCATATTTTGGTTTCCCTTTAAACCAACCCAGAAAAGGGTGCCGAGCCTCCATAAAGAACCGAGCCACACCCATTAGTCGCTCCCAGCCCTCCATTCTCTTTCTCAAGTCCGCTGGAGAAAAAAACAACGAAAAAACGGAACGCCCTCAAAAAAGGACATACCCTTTCTTTTCACTACACTAGCACCCACCTGCCAAAGCGTCACTTCAAGAGGAAGTTCATCTTCTAGGTACCTCCCACAAGTGCCATGTTAGTGGGAGGAAGGGTACCCAAATGATCCAGGCATAGGCTCCACCACCGTGAGGTGCCCGGCGCACACTGCGAGGTGCAAGGCGGTGCGGCCGTCCAAATTCGTGCAGTTGGCGCTGACCTTGTTGCCTGGGCGGTCGTCTTTTTTGTGAGTTGCTGCCACCCAACCTGCAATTGGTAAAACTTTTTAAAGGGACGTACCCACCCTTTTGCTGGTTTTGAATGGACACCAACAGGAACATCACCAGCATTTTAAGATACACCATAATGTTGACCCCGGATTAAGCCTGTACTATTCATAGGGGCAAAAAGCACCACCCCTCTTGGACGGGGTTGCTCTGCGCTTCCCACCTAGCACGGCTCTCGTCCACTCACTCACTCACTCACTCACTCACTCACTCATTTAAGGCTTAATCTGGGGTCGACATTCTGCCCGGTGCGAACCACGGAACCCTTTTCGAGGTTGACCATGTTTAGCTTGCTGGCTCAGGGAATAGGGAATGAGGGAATGACGCCTATAACCTGTTTCTTTTGGTTTGCTTCAAGGGAATCCCCTTCCGGTTCATTCCCAACACCCGGAACGGGTCATTCCCCGAGCACCCGGAAGTTCGTGGGATCCCCAATCAAGGGACCCTCATGGGCGAGCTTGTTTTACCCCCCAAATCATTTGTCAGCCCGCCAGGTGTCCAAAGAATATGTAAAACTTGCACCCGGACCCTCAAAATACCTTGAAAAAATGTGTTGGCCCCAAAATGATGGGGCGAAATCCATTTTGTAATGGGTAGTTTGAGGGTCCTGGTAGTCTAAATTGTCAGGGTGTACCCTGCTTCAGGTTTGCACAGAACCCAAAGAACCACTATTTTGAGAGGAACCTCCTTTTTCAGGGCACCCCCTGTTTGGTTTGCATGTGAACATTTGAGGGGCACTTTTGTTCCAGGGTTCAAATTTCCGGTTCCTTGGGTGTGTTAAGACCCGCTGCCAGAGGCTTTGAAACTGTCTCCCATGTTGTAATTGCAAGCCCCCCCCCCCAAACCCTTGCTCTTTGATATTCCCTTCTGGTTTCCAGGCTTCAGGAGTGCATGGGCAACTTGCAAACTCAGTGGGCAACCATTGGACACCACCATGCAAGATCTGGCAACATCCAGGCTTAAAGGTCATGGTACGGGATCCACATAGATATCAGCTTGCGGTGGTTCGGACGGGTGGTTCGGGGTGGTTTTCAATCTAGCCTCTGCAAGAACCAGGGGCCCAACCCTCCCAATCCAAACCACCAGCTAAGGGCGACCTGGGGATGGGCTTGAAATCGCCTTCCTCAGTTTGAAGGGTTTTTCAAGGGAACTCTCTGGAGGTCTCGTCTCTTTCGGATTTTTTCGGGCGCCGGGTTCTCCAAATAGACCAAAACATGGATTTTGGCGTCCTTTTGGCCCCCCAAGACCAACCTCAAAGCACACACCCATCTTGCAGTAACCTTTTTAGGGTCTTTCAAAGGCGGCATCGTATAGTGGTAGATCCCTTTTAAACCCGACAGGGCTTTCATCGGTTGGAGGTTCGGGATGGTTTCCCAGTCACCCTCTACAAGAACCAGAGCTTCAAGTCCCACAGCCAGCAATCCAAAGCACCGAGGCAATAGTGTGTCTGGAACAAAAACAAAAATCTTCCGTCCTCTTTTGAGACTGGACCATATTTTGTAAGAAGCACATGGTGGATTGGCTGCCAGGAACAAGAACAGTACCCAAAAACAGGCAAAACCAGTAAAAACAATACCCATGGCCAAAAAAAACAAGAGCTGAGCCCCAAATTAACCAGTAAACAAAACAAGCAAAAGCAAACCTATGGCTAAAAAAACCAAGCGCCGAACACCCTTTTTTTTTCCGCTGCCAGGGAGCTCTGCAGCATCGCCTCCATCTGGTCCCACTTCCCCTCCGCCGCGCAGGTGATGAAGTCCCCGATCCGCTCCTGCTCCTGCCGTCGGGAACATGGCGGCAGGCTGCCGCGAATTCGGCTCCCCCGAGACTAAAGCGCCTTGCCCTGAAAACCCGTTGCTTAAGGTTGACCCCGGATGAAGCTAAACCTCTGTTTACTAATATGGAGTGTTTTCCGTCCAAAAGTGACAAATCCTCACTGAGACCAGGGACACCCCCTTATTAGTAAACAGGGGTGTATTATGTATTAATCCGGGGTCAACATTAAAGGCTCTGGCTGACACAAAAAAAGAAGGAGCAGGGTTCGCCGTTCGCCCCTGCAAACATCAAGGGGCTTAGCTTGAAATGGCAAGCACCCACTTCCCAAGTGGATTGGTCATTAAACAAGTCTATGTGATTCCCACCAAAATGACGCTGAAACTTGGAGAGCGAGTTAAAAACTTCGGGACTCGGATGGACCCGGCGCTCGAAGATTAGCACATGGAACAGCGATGCCAAGGCCATGTCCGTCCATGAGTTTGGCAAAAGACAGTCTTGAGGATGAACATCCCCCCCGCAAACACTAATAACAAGTTGCAGCACCCCCAGCAAGTGGCTTTCTGCGTGGGTGGGCTAGAAAAGTCTAGCCCGCTCAACGCATACAACACAGGCACACACCAAGTGACATACCTGTTTCTCTGCCCTTAGTCGCGCGGAGAAGCGGCCCCTTTTGGTCCTCAGTTTGGAGGGCCGGGGAGGCCTTCCCAACAGGGTTGATCCCCTCTGGGTAGAAAACCTTGGCTTGTGAGGGAGTCAAATCAACATGTTGGCGCCAACCCTGAGGTTTGCCCACCCTAAGACTGTTTAGGGTTTATGCTGGCCCCACCAACACTGTTTTAGGGTTTAGCTTGTCCCACCAACACTGTTTAGGGTTTATGTAGGTTTTATGCTGGTCCGGCCAACACCTGTTAGGGTTTGTGTTGGGCCCCACCAACAGGTCTTTTAAGTTTATGTAGCAACACTTTTTTGGGTTTATGTTGACGCCACCTGCACCTTTCAGGGTTTATGTGGGCCCCACCGACACATTCTAGGGTTTTTGTTGGCCCCACCATCACCTTTTAGGGTTTATGTTGGGCCCACCAACACACTGTTTTAGGGGTTACGCCGGCTCCGCCAACACATTTTAGGGCTTTGTTGGCCCTACCACCACATGTTGGCCCGACTGACACCTTTTAGGGTTTCGGGGTTATGTTGGCCTCCAGATGCCTTTAGGGTTTGTGCTGGGCCGACCAACACCTTTTGGGGTTGATGTTGTGTTTAGGGTTTTTGTTGGCCTCCAGACAGCGTTTAGGGTTTATGCTGCGCCCACCAACACTATTTTGGGTTTATGTTGGCCTCCGACCCCCCTTTTTGAGGGTTTGTGCCGCAAGGTTTAGGGTTTATGTTGACCTGGAGGCTTTTTTTTGGGTGTGGGAGTGGCCGGGGACATTGGGAAGGCAGGCACACCTCAGGATCCTGGCAAACATGTCCTGATCTCAACTTACGGTCGGGCAAAAACTCGCTGACTAAAGTAGCTGTGATCACTTTCAACGGCTCCCTCCGAGCATGTGGGCGTGTCTTCTCCTTTTTTGGCAAGTGCCCCCTGTTTTGGTGGCTTTAAAGGGGAAACCAAGAGGCAATCGTTGAGCCATGTTGGGTCAAAATCCTTTCAGACCAGCCGTCGCCCATCTGATCGGAACCCGAAAAAAGTCTGCCTGGCCAAAGGGTGCCATTGGGCTTTGGTCGCGTGGCCAAACGAAGAAACCAAGCACCAGCTGCAACATCCAACCCAGAACCAAAGAAAACTCTTTCAACCAATCCACACGCCAAATCGATAAACCAAGCCAAACCGCATAATTGAAACCACAAAAGTCTCAATTCAGAATTCAACTGTGTCAAGCCCGCACATGTGAAAACCAGAGAACCCTTCAGGAAATGCTCCTGGACCTGGCAGCCGAACTGGGCCCCTGTCAGGTTGCGGTTGTTCTAAGTCCGGGGGTTCAAATTGGATGGCCTGAATTAACATTTTCAACCGCCAGACTTCTCGGATCAAAAGTGAACCCCTAGTCAAGGTCGATATAGTGCCTGGAACGGATCATTCAGGAACTGAACCCTTCTCAAGGTTGATGTTCCATCCTGTCAGTTGCCCAAAGGACCTGGAAATGAACGGTAAACGCTGTGAGATATTTGGGCCATGACTAAACATGGGCCAAATCAGCGAAACCACAAGGTCATTTCAAGTCGATTCGCTTTGGGCAAGTGAGTTCTTAAAGGATACCGAACCAGTTCATGAGACCAAACCACTGACGGGGACCCCACGGAGCCGTCGATCGGATTCGCGCCTGGGTCTTCTGAAACTCTTTGATCTCCTTTCGCACCGCTGCCACCTCAGCCGAGGGATCCGATTTTTTCCGCACCCGTTCATACCTAGATCTTCCCCGCAACAAGGGCGCAATTTCGCGCAAACGCGCGCAATCTCAAGAAGCGTACCTTTTACCTGTCCCTCTTCCTTTCCGTGTTGAGGAAATTGACCACTTGTTGAGCAAACGGCATGGTTGTCACGAAAACAGACGCGTTGATTTCCCAGCAGAAAATAACAGTTCATTTGGAAGGTCCATATACGAACATTGGGCTGTCAGCAAATCTGCTGGTTTGAGGCAAGAGGCCGGCGTTTCAACCACTTCAAATAGGAAATGGCGCGGACTCCCTGCAGAAGGACATGTTGCATAGCATTTTCACGATCAGTCTCACCATGCGCTTAATAAGACCATTGGAAACCCGGGTGCTAACAAATCTGTTGGTTTAAACGGTCCCTCACCCAAGACCTTACCCGAGGCAAACATTGAGGACCCTTCGGGGTGCTAATTGCCGCGGTTGGGTTCGGAAAAGGTTTGGATCTAAGGTCTGAGAACCGTTCTGGGGCATGGGCGGGAGGGGCGTGGTTTTGTCTCGCCTGATTTCAGCCTCATTTGGTTGCAGGGTTTTTGCGGTTCCTCCTGCACTACTTTGTGTATCCTCCAAATCTCTGAGAAAGTACCCCACCAACAAGTATCGAAGCGTACTGGCCATTTTCAATTTTAATTTCCACTCAGCATTCCAAAAGCAATGCGTGCACGTGCAGTTTGTTCGAGAGTACAACCGGAATTAAAAAGCCACCCTTTGCATGCCCCTGCAAAACCTGCGCTCTCAAGTTATGAGGGGGTCCTACCCCCTAAAGAGCCTCCAAATGTTGATTCTCTCAAGCCTTGTCGACCTTGACCATTAGAGAGTGCAGAGTCCAGGCATTTCGGGCGTGAGTAAATCTACGCAGAAACTTGCGAAAGTCCATCCGAGCGGCTCCTTCCAGAGACAAGTCGTGCATAGGCAGCTCCTCAGCGGCTCTCTCACTGAACCCGGGGCTCGCCGAAACAATCCAACACACGGAATGTACACCGGAATGTTGTTGGTTTTTTGTTGGAAAGGCAGCTTGAAGCATTTTGAGGGCAAAAACATAATTCATGAACGCGCGCTTGGGGCTGCAAAAGCGGGCATCTTCGATCAAGGCACGCCCGAAGGCTGCTTTGGGCACTTGGCGCATGCTCCTGGGTTTGGGCTTTGGCTTGACTTAGTAGCAGCTCCACGACATGAGGCTGCCTATGCCCCAAGCGCACATAGAACCTGACCGGGGGGCGGGGGGTCCGTGCTTACCAGTTTTTCTCTTTTGAAGAAACATGGAAGGCTCCATGCAACGCGCATCCCGGAAGGTATCCTCTTGGACCCACGCCATCGCCGCATGGTATCTCAAGCTGGGATTCCAAAAGGTCATGTTACGTCGCACTCGGGTGTGCTGCTGGGCTACCGTGAGTACCTCAAGACATCTCCGCTTAGTCGAGTCAACATGTGGGCGCGTCTTCAAACGGGGGACTCCAGTTGATTCTTTAGCAACGCTAATCATCGAGGCAGAGAATCCCCACATTCGCAATCCCCGCATTTCGCTTGAAAAAACACTTCAACATCTAGGCACCAGAACCAGAAAATTCATGTTTGATGTGCTTCTCCGGATGGGGCAAATCTCAACTGGTTGTTGGAAAATTCGAGAATCGCCCATCCTCTTGGGATAATGTCAGGTTAGATAGATTCAGCGACCTGACTTGGCCTGACCTAGGACCTGGGCGTTAAAAGGTCACGCCTTTCGTCACCTAAGAACAAGCTCGGACCCAAAGGGTGCTGTGACCGTGGATGAGGAAACCGGAACTATTCATAGGGGGTGGGTGCCCCCAGTCAACTGTTTAGATGGGTGCATTCCATTTACCAGGGCCATCCATTTTTCAAAGGCCACCTATGCTTTCGGCGCGAAGGGAAGAACAAACTTGGACAACCAACAGGTTGAAGGTCAAACGGGTTGGACCCAACTGGTACAGAACCAAATATTAGCTGAACATATGGCTTCCCAGAGCCATCAACCCCCATAAGCTTGATATCAGCTGGGTCCCACTTCCTGGGTCCAAGATTGAAAACGTGAGGTGCGTCCTAAGCCCCAAAAGGAGCTTCCGGACACATCTGGCATCGCCGAGAAAAGGACAGCATTTCCTCCCTTCCGAAGGTCCTTTCATGGCCACCGTGGCTTCGCGCGATGTCTCGTCCAAGGCGCTGCCACGAGGTCCACGGCCCCAGCCGCTCGCCGCTTCCGGCGCCGTGTGGAGGCTGAGACCTGCGAGGAGGGCCCCCATCGGTTTCCGCTTGCGTTGTCGCCCCCCTGGAAAAAATGAACATATCTCCCGCCATAGATTCCCCTTTGAAACCCACAGGGGGAAATAAAACATGTTCTTAAGCAAATGGAAGGATTCCTGATGTTGGTGGTTTTTTAAAAAGAAGGATCCCTGGAAAGAATGCGACGCTACCAACTGATTTGAACATAAACTCCCAGTATTATGTTTTGGCATGTCCAAAACACATAGTTATTAGTATTGACATGCATCAACATATTGACAAATGTTACCGAAAACAACTTGATTCGTTCTTTTGTGTCATTTTGTTGGGGGCACCCCTCTTTTGGTTGGGGGTTTAAAGGGAAATCAAGACTTGGCTTCAAAGAGTGGCACTCTTTTAGCCACCTTCGTCCTGGGGAACTGAAACAAGTGACAACTTGTCGCTGGTCCAAAGGGACAGCAAAGGCAGAGAGGGGCAACAAACAGTAAGGTTGAGCATCGAGACGCTTTGTGAAGGCATTTGTTTGCCGAACATTGTGAGCCTCCTTTGATGTTCCCTTATGGAAGGTCAAGCGCATGTTGCCACCCAACCCTACCCTGGGATTTAAACCACCGTTCAATAAACAATGGTTAGGTTCATACCACCATTGTTTACCAATTGTCATGAGCTCAATTGGGTTCACACCCACAAACAAAAGGTGATCACCTTATAGGGCCATGACCAAAAATGGTTTCCCAAAGTCATTTCAGGTTGACTCGCTTCGCTCAACAAAGGCGAAGCTTTTGGGGCCGCAACCGGTCCACCGGTCCATCCAAATCAAAGCACCGGTGAGCATCCCAGCTCGCCTGGGACCTGGCCATGTCATCATCGTCGTCGTTCATCATGATACCTCGTGAAACGACGTCGAGGCCCACGGAGCGACGTCTTTCGAAGCGAAATCCGACGCCTTCTGGGCCTGGCCAACAGTCGATCGATCGACGGATCGACGGATCGACGGATCGACTTTCGCTCGCTGCTTGTCCAACCGGCGGCTTCGATGGATTGAGTTCCTAGCTGCTTGTCCCAATGAAGGAGTATTGCCCTCGTTTCATGGGACACCGCATGAATCAACCAAGGCCTTCATCTGTAGCAATCGTAAAGGTGGCCCTCTTTACATGGGGCACAGCATGAATTGATCAACCAGGACCTTCTTTTCATCCCGGGCTCCCAACTGCTTCAGAGTCTGCCAGTTGCTTGAGCCCCCTGGAAAAACGCCCTGCAAATTACTAAGGAACCCAAAACGCCGTCTTTTTTCGAGGTCCTGTGGCTTGAAAGACCACCATTTTTATACCATTTTTGGGTGCCCCTAGAAAAACACACTGGTATGCCAGTGGGGAAGCAAATGCCACCCCCAGAGGCTCCTAGAATCTTACGGCTTTCTTGGGTCCTGCAAGTCAGGAAAGAACCCGTGCTGTTGGGAAGGGGGGGCAGTAGCCACCAAGAAAAGGGTGGGTCTTTTGGAAGGGAAATTGGCAGCTGAGGAACAATGGGTTACCTCCAAAAATAGAACGAGCCACCCAGATGGATGTGTCTCGAAATGACTTGGAGGAACCATTGGGCGTAAAACGTTCCGACGGCCCGCAGGCCCAGCCCCCCCGGAAACTCAGACAGCGAGGAGCCCGCGCCCATCTGCTCATGTTCCTGCGCGGAACGCTCGAAGCGGTGGGTGATTCGGGAAGGAGGACTTCCACCTCACGGTGGTTGGTGCGGCTTGGGTTTTTAACACACATATTGCTACAATCACAAAACATACACACGCGCACACACACACACATGTGTGTATACATATATATATATATATATATACAATTATACTTATTTATATACACGTGTGCACATGTGCAAATATACATGTATGTTGATGCTTTCATGTCGTACCGGTAGATCAATTTCTCTATCCACGTCTTGCAAGAGGCGCCGTCTTTTGACTGAGGCCTCAAATCAAAAGCTGGACGGAGGGTCCACCGCTCAACTGCAAGAACAAAGCAAATGCCCTAGAATGTCAATACTGGCCCGCCGATGTACATGAGGTCACTCCTGCGAATAAAAGGGATCCAGCAACTACACATTGGCTGCCCGGCCTAACTTAGATGCCCGGCCTAACTTAGCTGCCCTCTAGTCAGGGATCCTGGGCTTTTGAGCAGCAACTGGGCATCCCCAAAATCCGTTTCCAGGAAAAACACAAATTGCCTCGAACCCCGTAGGCATTGAACCAACAGTATGACAGCCGTTCAGAACTCACCAACCAGATCACCAAAAAGCAAGGAACACTCCTTCGGCCTTTCGCCTTTCGACCTGTTCCCAAAAACTGGCGGCCTGAAAGGGTTCCACGCCTTGGGGTGCAGATTTCCCAAGAGGCGCGGCCAAACGCGGGCCGGATTTTTTGCAAGGCTAGCCCATGGATGGGTTGCCAAGAGGAGCCAACCAAAACACCGTCTCTTTTTCCGGCAGTTCCCATCTTCCACTTGGAAACGTGCCGCTTTTTGACCCGAAAGAAACCATCGCGGCAAGCCCCGAGGCAAAGGTCTATTCAAGCAACCACGGCCCATCGAAATGGCCTCGTGGTCATCCTCACCCACCAAGGGCTTCGGCGTGAGCTTGAAGATGTTGTTGTGGATCACCTCTTGGTCCTGTCGGAAGCCTTTGGAGACAGTGGGGTTGAAGCATGTTAAAGCTGCAAGCATCTTTAACCCGAGTTGAAGGACAATCACTTAGTTTTGGCAAGCAAGCAATGGTCACTCCCCCAGAGAAAGGACACATGGTGTCAGGAAGGCCTTGACAAATTCATTTCTGCTAGAACCTGCTATTGCAAGCTGATTTCCAAACAAGTGGGCTCTTTCTCTCAGGCGCCTGTTTTTCCTATCTTGGATGCTTCGAGTATCACCTTCTGAGCCCCGTTTCATTGAGTTTCATAGTGGGGTGATGTTTGGAAAGGACATGTGGTGGAAATGTAGGGAACTTGGAACTTGGCGGCCAAAATGAGCTGGGAGTCGGGATGGCTTGGGGGGGGTGTTGGGAAAGTGAGTTCCCAGTTTCTGGAATTGTCTACCTTTCAGAGCATGTCAGAGACAGCGGCCATTGCTGGAACCTTGAACTACCAGGTCAGTCCAGCTCTTAAGATCTAGAATTCCACCCCAGCTCTTCGTCTCCGAAGTTCGCTCCCCAGTTTGATTCGCAAGGCGCAGTTCCTTGTAATTCGAGGCTTCCAGTCATCCGTTGCGAGTTGTTGTGTTGCTGCGGGTTGTTTGATATTTGAGCACTGCGACCCTCGCGGGAGGTGGCACAAAGACACAATGGCGAAGGCTGCCAGAAGCGCGTTGGGTTTGGGCTGGGGCCCTTGCACTTCGCCACTGAGGGTGTTTTGCCCCACGGACATCGAGGGGAGGCACTGGTCGGAGAAGTGGAAACTATCTTAGACTATATATTTCCTGCAAACTCCTTTCAAAATGACAGCTTGACGTTTTTCCCTTGTCCTTTTGTCTTTTTCCTCTGTGTTCATTGTGTTTTCCATTTGGATGTTTTGTTTGTCTCATCTTTTGGGTGGGGGGGGGGGTTAAACATAAACATCCAGTCCTTTGGGTAGAGCATCAAGGCCGTGTTCAGCTGTTCCATGGGCACCTTGATGAAGGAGCTCTCCTCTTCACCTCCGCGATTGGACGATTCAACGTGTCGACGCGCCTGCCCCATGAAACGCGACCACCGCCAGTCTGTCTTTTGCAGGGCAGGGCCTAAATGAAAACAACACCTTTTGCTGCTATGACTGAAACTCGATTTTGTGCCAGCATCTACCCCCAAAGAAAGACCATTTACTCTGAGTGGATTGGCAAACAACAAAAAAGGTCCGAACCTTTTGGTTTATCACTAAACTGGTCGAAGCCCAAAAGGTGACTAAAGTCCTTCTCGGAACTCAGGAAGTGAGCTTAGGCCCTATCCGACGATCCCTTTGGGGTCCATGGAAGGCCCCACGCCGAGAGTTTTCCGCATCAGGTACTTCGTATCACAGCAATGGCCCCGTTTGGGTGAGGTTCAACTGGAAAGCCACAAGAAAAACCACCCCATCTGTTGACACCGCGTGGTTTTTGCGAAAATCACTAATGAGCAGCTGCGCGCGGAGTTGGCGGCAATTCCTCTCAAGTGCCTATCTCTGAGAACATCGTGGCTTCTTGACCCCAAGACGGTACGTATTTCACCCAAGCATTGCCCGATGGTGAAACATCGGTCATGAATGAAAATGCAATGGTTGCTCCTTCTAGCTCGGGAGAGATCATTTACTTGCCCGGGGCACTCAAAAAGAGTGCGAGAGCGCGAGAGAGAGAGAGAGAGAGAGTTGGCAGCCACCCGCCAACCATGAACAAAGCCAAAGAGCCAAAACACCTAAACAGCATGCCAAGCGTAGTTGAAGGGTTTGTGTTGCTGATAAGCGCAGCGGGCACCAGGTCAACCAAGTGCTGCCAAATGCCCTGGGGCCTGAGGTCGTTTGGTCTCGTGCCCTGCTTCTGCGGAGTGCAAGTGCCAAGTGCACGATGATACAGTGCACGGGATGAGTGTGTGTGTGTACCCCTTCTTGGGGGTTCAAAGGGAAAAGAATAGGAAACACATGTGTCACCCTCCAGTGAGCCTTGATATTGCAGGTGATGTCAACAGGGGTCCTCATCAAAAGGGGGAATGCCAGCATGAATGGAATTCAGGGGTCACCCCTTCCCACATCTTTTGGTTTCAATGGGGTGGGTGCGACCCCCCGTTCCTTTCCCTTCCACTATATAACGCCAATTATTTGTATGGGTGTTGCAGGCATGGAGGCTTACATGCCACCACCGGTGGGAAGGCCGTGCACACCCCCTCTACAAGCGGCATACGTCATCGTACTACCGCCAACCTCCATTTACTGAGTGAGACCTCCCTGGATGTCTTTTCTACATCGGCTTTTGCCTGATTTCATCACGACTTTCCCTCTGGGTTTGTTTTCAACATCAACCAAAGCCAAGACGTGGATCACCCCAAAAGCGAAGCATGCCTCACTTGCTGAGTGGACTGGCCAAAAAGTCCAACTTTTTGTTTACCCCTAGAATTGTCTTCCCAAAAAGTTTAAAGTCCATGAACTCAGGGTGAGATACCCACGTAACTTGATGTGATTTGAAAAGTTCAATCTCCTGCGATTCTTCCGCCGGGGGGCTCACAATACTCACCTCGTGCCGCAGCCCAAAGAGGCAGGACATGTCGCAGAGCGCCGTGCCCCGCTCGTCCACGCGATCCACCTGCCGAACTCCCGCTCTCGCTGGGTTGGACATGGGAGGTCTGCTAAATCCCCAACACGAAAGATGCACCCAAAACCAGAAACTCTGTTGCCCCTTCGGGACTTTGGAAATAGAAGGTGATCATTTTGGTGGAACCTTCACTATGGACCGAATCAGAGAAACCCAAAGATCATTTCACATCAAGTTGCTTTGAAGCGCGGAAAGGGTAAAGGCCGGGGTATCCCAAGGTTTAGTTTGTGCCCATCCCCCAATCGACACTTGAGAGGGGTTTCTGAGAGACCTGGGAAATCACCCGTGCGATTCCTCAGGCCATCCTTACCGTCGAGGGGGATTCCCCTGTGTTAAACAGGGGGGTCTGGATAGACAATAGTGAGACATGTCAAATATTGGCTGTTTGGCCAGTTTCGTAACATAGAAAGCGACCCCCTTTTGGGTGGCAGCTTGGCCAGCGTAACATAGCAAGGCCCCCCCCCCAGTTTCCAACAAAACCCGAGGCTTGGATGTTGATGTCTCCTTTAACAGGGATCCTTATATTATACACCTGAACATTGCCTTGTAAATGGTGGCTTCCCTTTATTTTGGTGGAAAAAGCCATGTTTCAAATGGGCAAAGTGTATCTTTTAAGGAGCCTGTTTAAGCCTCGGGGTCGTATGGGTTCATTGGGAAGTGGGTAGGCTTCCAGGTCAGAAAAACACCTAAAGTTGCGAAGCACATCTTCACTTTCATGTTTGCACAACGCATTCTTGCACGAAGGCAGGAGTGTGGTGGATATGGTTCTCGTTTGCTCCCCTTAAACGTTGAACCAGCTGATTTACTCATCAACATCTAGCTCAAGGCCATATAGCTTCATCCTGATGCCTCCCACAGTTCGCACCTTCTTTGCAGGAAGGCGCACACAAAACCAACGCTAGCTCACATGATTCTCCTGGATGTCCATCGTAACGGGAGTTGCGAATCAACAGTTGAAGAGCCCAAGCGACAGCGAACGCAAACCACCTACAAATTGGGAAACTGGTTCGGCTCGACTATTGGAACGGCATGAGGCGACCAACTTTAAGTTAAGTTATGAAGAAAAAACCCGACCAAAGCTACCGATGAAGTTGCACGAAACAACTTTTGGCTTTTATTTGGCAACACAATGAATTTAAGCGATTGATGTGTTTCTAACTCACGCTCTCAGCGGATGGGCCAAAGCAAGTCTAAACTTCCTCAAAGGATACATCAACATTAGAATCCAAATTCCACCCGATGCACCAGCAGTTGGATCCTCGAAACCAGTTGGTAAAAGTGATGCTGTTGGTTGAAATGCACCCGCTTGCCTTAACCGAGCTCCATGAAATGTCTTGGGGCTCTCCTGCAACTCACATCTTGCAATGATTTATCACAATTCCAAACTAAGTCATCCTCAGGTAGAAGACCTTCCACGCGTAAGCCAGGTAAAGGACCTTCATGTTGAGAGGTTTGTGACTTCAGGTCGGCCACGCCTCCTCGCTGTTGGAATCCCTGAGCTGCACCGAGCCGCTGCGGAGGATGCAGAAAAAGCCTCGGGGCTCACACTTGCCCACATTGGCCACATTGGCCTTAAGAAGCCCATGTTTTCGGGCCTCTGCAGAAAAAGCCTTGGGCCGATGATCTGGTTTGGGTTCGCTGCAAACCGAGGTAGGTAGGGCTCACACTTGTCCACATTGGTTGCATTGACCAAGAAGCCCCTGTGTTTGGCCTCTAAGCGACGCTACAACTCACTTCATGGGCGGGTTGGTCAACAAAAAGTCCTAGCTTTTTGTCTACCACTGAAACGGGCCACGCGCGAAAAGCGATTAAAGCTTCGAGGACAAATCACAGGCCAAACCCGTTCTATGCCAGGATTGGTCACATTCTTGGCGTGGCTCTCAAGCAAACCACATGAATAGGCCACGTCCTTTTGGGCGTGGATTCCAAGCAAACCAGATCCTGGCAAACGGACGATGTTACACAAGTGGGCAGCAAGCAGGACAAAAATGCACTTGCACCGCAGGGGTGCAAAAGTAAGCCAGGCGGGGAACAAAATGCTCCGGTGGCCGCCTTGTTGGTGGAAAATCAATTGCTGTCTTTGCTACTTTGCACCCATGGGCCTTTGGCATGCAGCAAGCACGCCTTGGCTGCCAAATGGTGCAGCATTGCAGGACATGCTTCCAACTTCGGAACTAAGGGCACCACTGGCCAACAATTCCCACAGCCCTGACAAGCAAACCCAACCCAACCTTGGAAATATCAAGCTTGGCCTTTGGCCTTTGGGACAGGTGCGGGAATGTGTCAAGGGCAAAGGCGCACGCTACTTTTTGCTCGCGGGCGCTGGCTCTTTTGGGCTGATGGCGCCGCAGGAGGCTGGCAATAGGCACTGCTTTCCCAGAGGCAGCCTGGGCTTTCGTGGACAACGAACGCAGTCGTGTCAGGATGGGGTCACTGGATTGCCCCTTCAAAGGTTGCCATTGACTGGTGGTGTCCATTGAAGCTGCCACTTTCGGAGGTTTTAAAAGGGGATTCTGGCAAGTTGTCTCTCAATTTCGAGCGCATTCACATCTTCATCTCATGCAACTGCAAAACTGGCCAAGGAAAGTCACATTTCATTTCACTGCGTCAGACACGCTGCACCATTTGCTAGGCCCATCTGCGGCTATTGGCATCTACAAGCAAGCGTGTCCCATTGCCAGATTTTACACCAAGAATCGTTTTGAGCCCAGAACCTCCAGCCCCACTTCTGCCAAGATGCTCGCTTCCGCCACTCCACGAACTCGTGCTCCCAGATGTAAAAAACGCGCAGCCCCTCTGCAGCGAACAAATCCAAACGTTCCATGGTGTCGCGGTAGACGTCTGGCGCGGGCTTGCTGCCCACGCAAATGTAGGCGCCATGCCTGGAAACAGTTGCGAGCTGATACGAAAAACAGACACGGGCAAGTCGGCTACCCTTCACAATGTATAGCTTTGGTGGCACAACACACACACAATCAAGCTGCGATGTTTGCTGCTAGGTGGCTGCGGATGCTCCACAGGAAAGCCATGGTAGTAGTTCCCCAGAAATTCAACCACCTCGCGCCTCTCCGGGTGGTAGGCATCAGGCCGCACTGCACGATTTCGAATCAGGCCTGCAAACTCCTTGCCTGACCACGCGCGGGCAGCTGCGTCAAATCTATGTCGAAAAGGAAACTTGTACCCAACCTCGTCCTCCAAAATGTCAAGACAATCGCTTGCTGCGCGTGAGAAACATGAGGATGACAAAACGTGTGCACCAACCTGTGCAGAGTGAGCTGCGCACAGTTGTCGAGGCTTGCCAGCAGCATCTGGAAAAAAGGCACGCTTTCCGCACACAAGGCACCTCGATTGCACAATGTCTACCATCTCATCCTCTTTACAGCTGACACAGCAAGTTGCCCGAGCATCGCCTGGCATGCCAAAGTAGGGTTTGGCCCTGCCACACCTGCATTTGCGGCTTTTGATGTCGACCATACCGTCCTCTTTGCACTTGGCACAGCAAGTTGCCCGAGTATCGCCTGGCATGCCAAAAAAGGGTCTGGCACTGCCACATCTGCATTTGCGGTTCTTGATGTCGACCATACCGTCCTCTTTGCACTTAGCACAGCAAGTTGCCCGAGCATCGTCTGGCATGCCAAAATAGGGTGTGGCCCTTCCACATCTGCATTTGCCGTGCTTGATGTCGACCATACCGTCCTCTTTGCACTTGGCACAGCAAGTTGCCCGAGCATCGTCTGGCATGCCAAAAAAGGGTGTGGCCCTGCCACATCTGCATTTGCGGTTTTTGATGTCGACCATACCGTCCTCTTTGCACTTGGCACAGCAAGTTGCCCGAGCATCGCCTGGCATGCCAAAATAGGGTCTGGCCCTGCCACACCTGCATTTGGGGCTCTTGATGTCGACCATACCGTCCTCTTTGCACTTGGCACAGCAAGTTGCCCGAGTATCGCACGGCATGCCAAAAAGTGGTATGGCCCTTCCACATCTGCATTTGCCGTGCTTGATGTCGACCATACCGTCCTCTTTGCACTTAGCACAGCAAGTTGCCCGAGCATCGTCTGGCATGCCAAAAAAGGGTGTGGCCCTGCCACATCTGCATTTGCGGTTTTTGATGTCGACCATACCGTCCTCTTTGCACTTGGCACAGCAAGTTGCCCGAGCATCGCCTGGCATGCCAAAATAGGGTCTGGCGCTGCCACACCTGCATTTGGGGCTCTTGATGTCGACCATACCGTCCTCTTTGCACTTGGCACAGCAAGTTGCCCGAGTATCGCACGGCATGCCAAAAAGTGGTATGGCCCTTCCACATCTGCATTTGCCGTGCTTGATGTCGACCATACCGTCCTCTTTGCACTTAGCACAGCAAGTTGCCCGAGCATCGCCTGGCATGCCAAAGTAGGGTTTGGCCCTGCCACATCTGCATTTGCGGTTTTTGATGTCCATCATGCCGTCCTCTTTGCACTTGGCACAGCAAGTTGCCCGAGCATCGCCTGGCATGCCAAAATAGGGTTTGGCCCTGCCACACCTGCATTTGGGGCTCTTGATGTCGACCATACCGTCCTCTTTGCACTTGGCACAGCAAGTTGCCCGAGCATCGTCTGGCATGCCAAAAAAGGGTCTGGCACTGCCACATCTGCATTTGCGGTTCTTGATGTCGACCATACCGTCCTCTTTGCATCTAGCACAGCGAGAGGGCTGTCTATCGTGCTGAAATCCAAAACTGGGATAGAGCACAAGCCCACAAATACAGGCACCAGGCCGTCTTGTCAATGTGGCAACTCGGCTGAGCAAAGAACTGTGTTGCTTTGTTTTGCCCAGACTGTCATCTGTAAAGAAACCGTTGTGCGTGCTTTCCTTGCACCGATGATTGTCTCCTCACAAAGCATGCAAGATGAAGCAGCAATCAGCAAGAATGTCTCGAACACATTGAATATTCATTATCTTGTTGTCCTTTCGGGGGATGAACAAACACGAGCTGCAAAGCCCGCAAGCAACATTTGGCTTGGACTGCTCTCTCCGCGCCCTCCTCCATGATGCCTGACCTGGCCCAGCGACCGATGGCCCTGTGCGGCCAGGCATGGCAGCAGCGGCCCCTGGCGGCGAAGGCCATCCCAACATACGGTGCCCGTTGAAGTCTGCGTTTGCTTGCGAATAACTTCATGGGCGCTGGCGATGGGTTGCGCGTGCAAACGTGATACTCACAAATGTTTCATAATTGCCAGGGCCCATGTCAAAGCCAAATTTGATGCAAAAAGTCGGCCTCTCAAGTTGGGATCGTTGACACTGACAAGTTCCACGCCCAAACAACTCAGACCAACAGTTATCTTCACACAGTTGCAGGCACGTTTTGACCGAGCTGGGAACACAGCCGTCGGCGGTTCCTTGGTTCCTCTGGCCTCCCTAACGCCCCACCCCGCCACAGACACCCACCGACGCTGTGACAAATTCGGCCTCGAAGAGGCTAACAGAGAGACCAGACCCTTTTTCCCTGAACCAACTCAACAAAAAATATCCTTCTTGGACGACCCAACGAGAGAACGTATCTACCCCACCCGCCACGCCTGCTTGGCCAGAGCCACGCGCAGGCTCCGCACCAAAGCCATGGCTAATGAAGTGGGAACTTCGTGGCTCAGGTGCCAAGGGACCCCCAGGCACCGTTCTGACAATTGCTGGCGGGGCATCTGAAAGGCCAATCCTTTTTCTGTCTCTTGAAACTGGAAGCTCAAGATAAGTGTGTCGCTCAAAGGCCGCCCACTGGTGGAAACCCGCAATTAGGATCCGAAACTCTTGATTAGGCCTTATCAGGCCATGTTGGGTGCTAATAGGCCCTATTGGGATTGGGGTCTTCGCTTGGGCACTTGACAACCGCAAGACAAAGCACTCAACGCAGTGCCCGATGGCCATTGGGCAACAGCGGTAGGCCTCTGCTGCCTGTCAGCAAACCAAAAAGGAAACGTCACTGAAGGAAGCAGCAGGCGTTCAGCATTTCATCAACCTAGTGGGCCCATTCCGAGTCCCCCAACACTTGCCGCCAAACCTTCGGCGCAAAACCGTGCCTGCTGCACTTCCTCCCACAGGCATAAAGAGATGGCTTCTTTGGGAGGGCATCTGGAAGATCAATTCCTCTTGAAGGGACACCCGGTCCGGTGCCAGGTTCGTGGAAGGAAGGTGCCTGTGCCAGATGGGCTTCCCTTGCAGTGTGCCACTACGGACTTCGGATTTGGATCGGGGGACCCTATAACCAAACATCAGGGGTAACCAAATTGTGACATTTCACTCCCCAATCACAACCAAAAGGAGCCGTCCAAGAGCCACCCACTCGTTCGCTCGTTTGGCTTGAGCTCTCAGCCCAAGCGATTTTGAGGGTTGTTGGGTGTGTGGCCAAATGTGCCTCAAGCAACTTTCTAACCCCAAGCTGTTTGGGTGGAATTTGGACTGCTGGCCTTTGTTTAGAACCGTTCCAACAAATCTGATTTATAAGCATGTCTAACTCACCTCCTGAGTGGAGTGGCCAAGACAAGTTCAAACTACCACCAAAATTGTCTTCCCAAAAAGTTTAAAGTCCAGGCACTCAGGATGTGAGATAATCAAACTCCTTTGGGCGGGTTTGCCCTATCGGGTTCGGTTCTTTGAATCATGTTTGCCCAGCCCAGGTCATTGGTGGCGCACGCTTTCTTCTGGGGACCAGCTGACATAATCCAAACCTAGCCAGTACTACAGCAGTCTACCCAACACCACTTAAACAATCAAAAGGGCGGCCTATGTCTGTATGTGTCTCTGTGTCTCTGTGTTTCTGTGTCTCTGTGTCTGGTCTTTGTGTGTGTTTTTGTGTGTGTGTGTGTGTTTTTGTGTCTGCGTCAGTGTCTGTATGTCCAAGAGGCTTCCCGTATGGTAAGTAACCAAGGGAACCACCCTTCAAAGCTCGAAAACTTGGCTGGTTTCCTATAGAACAGCAGCAACTGGGGAACTCTGCTTCCTCCGTGGGGTGGCAAAAACAAAGCTCCCAATTTTGTTTTTGATTTGCCTAGGTCCTCCAGTAGAGAGGTTAGAATAGTCCATTGTAGTAACCCAAAACGTGAGGAAGTTCACTCCGAGCTCCGAGGGGCTGGTGGGCTCGCCCGCGCGGCAAACGAAGGAGCCCGCGGGGACGGTCAAGGGCCGGCAGATGGTGGCCAGCTGCAGGAGGAAGGGCTCGGTACAGTCCTGATGGGGAAAAGTGGGAATCGGATCCCGACTTTATCAAGGAAAACTACCTGAATCCTAGATTGGATCGTTTGTTGTTGCTTATTGTGTTGCTTTTTTTTGGGGGCGGGGGGTTCTTGAGAAATTAAGAAACCATGAAGGGATGTGCAAATTGGGGGTCTCGATTATGATAAATTACATGTCCGCTGATGGCTTCCTTTTTGGGAATTCACGAAAAGGTATGGGCTAGTTAGCACTCAGCTATCATGGGGATCAAGTACTTTGTCACAAAAGGTTTTTAATGAAGCAATGGGGTGGCAAGCAATGGTTCATCTGATTGAATTTTCTTGGATGGGGCCGCTTTGCGTAGAGGGAAGCCAAAGGAAACAACGCATAGGACCCCCAAGATTCTCGACAAAAGGCTTCGCTCCACCTCACAAGCGGAACCCACCCGCGGAATACCCTTGCCCTCCCGATTCCTGAAGGAAAACCTAGGGGTCTCAACTACCCACACACCCTGTACCAAGCCCGTTTAGGGATTCTGTGATATTGGAAGTTGACATTAGTTGCGGGAAAGGGGTGTGGAAAGGGACCAATACAAACTTACGAAGCCATGGGCATGGTCTGCATGTGTATCACAACGGCTTGCTTCTCCGTGAGCCACACTGAAAAAGGGTATCACACCCATTTGCGACCATGGTCCTATGGCCGGGGCCGCATGAAAAGTCCAAGCGGTCCTATTAGCAGATTGCCACCCGAGGCTCTTGACATCATTTCACGCAGGCGACTGGCCCGCTTTGGAGCACTGAGTCTAAGGCTGCTACGGCGATCACCGGCTTGGTTGGTGTTTCTATCTTGACACTTTGAAGTTCACGACTGTCACTGCCGACCCACCCCTGGGGCCCCTGGGGATGGAACTTGAGGGGCATACCCAAATAGAACGCGTGAAGCAAGAGGATATCCACACCGCAGAGGGTTGGGGGCGGCTAAAAGCTTGCCCTCGCTTGCCCTGGCTGGGCTTGTCTGCTGCTTTCTTTGGGTTTTCCTGCCCGCTTCCTGGCTAAGCTTGTGGGAACTTTACTAAAAATGGAGCAACTTGGGAAACCAAAGGATAAAAAGATCGGCTTCAGGTTGGTAACTAAAGGGATTTGCGGCAAACCCAAACAAGTTGCAAATCGTGGCGCACCTGGTTTCCCTTCAACACCCCCAAAAATGGTAACTACCCTTCCTCAAAAAGAACAAAGGCACCCACGGTTTGCTTACAAAACCTCCGTGCTTTCTCCGAGACAAAAAGTTCCCACGGATTCGATCCGGGGGCCTTAAAGATCGACGCCCACGAGATCCAGTGTTCCCAGGGGCCGCCGCCCACGCGGCCGACGACGCGCGAGATCGATCCCGCCTTAAAGATGGGCAGCTGCGCCAGCCACTTGAGGAAAACCCTCCGCCCAATGCGCTGCAACAAGCTGTGGGAGAGGTTGGTCAGCAGCACTTCGATGGTGCGGACCTCAGAATTTTTGGTTGGTTTCTGGCGGCCGAACAAGCGGGTTGATGACCAGTTTTTGGTTGGCCAACCAGCCAGGCAACCAGACTAAAGAAAAAAACTAGCCCTAGGACAACACAAAAAATATCCTTCACATGTTGTCCAGTGCTTCCGGTTATATACCTGTATAGTTGGTAACCAGCTTGGTTACCTGCTATGTTGGCAACTGGCCGGTAGCCTCTGAACCACAAAGAAGGCTATACACAATACTTTGGTTGGAATCGTGAAAACGGTGAGATTGGAATATGGTTCCAATTTTTTGGGGAACCGAGCTTAGTTCCAGAAAAAAATAGTTCACCACTGGCCAGTTGCCTGCTATACGGGTAACCAGGAAGTGGGTTGGCTTTAAGCAAAACAACAAGGAAACACCCGATTCTTGTTCGGCCTGACCATGTTGTGGGGTTGGCCATAATTTAAACAGAAAGCAGAAAGAACAACACAGGAAGACACCGGAGAGCCTTCTGTGGCCGAACTCCGCACACGTATGGCGCGGACGCTGGGGCTTTGTTACGGTTTGACTGATGGACCATGTGGCGGTTTGAGGACTGTTGACCCCCTGCAAAAAATGTAGCTTTTTGGGGGTTTAGTGGAAAGCCCCTTCATTTTCCAAAAAGTTCAAGTCTAAAGATCCAATCCAATAGCAGTCAAGTTTTTTGCGGGTTGGTTTTAACGGAAAACCAAGGAAAGGATACTCCAGGTTCCCCGGGATCCCGAACACGGAAATACATCCAAAAGCTAAGGCTTTACAAGGGTCGGAACCCCTCAAGCTGGTGAAGGTCGGGAAAGAAACGGATTCCCTATTTCGACGCATGCCCATTTTATCCCACGGTCTACCAGGAAAAGGGGGTGTGGGGAACCCAGGAAAGTCTTGTTTGTTTAGCACAACCACAGAAACAAAAAGATAGTATGAAGTCCAGATTCTCGGCAATTGAGCTGCAAAGAAGCCAGTACTCTGAAACAGCTATCAGAACTACATCATGCTTGCTTGGTTGCTTGGTAGGCTAATTGGCTGCTTCTCTTCTTTGTCATGCTGCTGGCTTTGGTGTTTTCTTCATTTCTGACCCACTTCAGTTGGACAAACAAACAACCGGGGATACGGAGGGAGCGGGGATATGGGGGGATTCCCTTGCCGCCATTTCCCGTAAACTTTGTCAAGGTATGTTAAGGTGCATTTAGGGGGATCCTCCCGTATCCCTGGTTCCCCCTGTATCCCTTGCTAGTTGGCTTTCCTGATTCAGCCAGCCCGCCTCCCTCCATCCCCCCCCCCACCCCAACCGAGGCACATCCGCGGCCCGCTGGATCTTGCCGCCCTCACCCTGCGACTCCTCTTCCCCGCCCCCAGCGGAGATCCGAATCCTGAGCCGTCGATTGCTGCCCGGCTGGCTCGTCCCTTTACCACCCCCAAAACCAAAGTGTTCTGCCTTTGACCCATAAACAACTTACAATGGCAAAAATAGGGGCCACTCGGGGGTCCAGGTACTTTTGTGGGGTTGGTCTCCGGGTTCCCCTGCGAAAACCACAAATAACGGGTACCGAGCCTCAAAACGTGCTGAATTTCCTGCTCTAGTTTCCCTGGAAGAAAAAACGCACCAACTCTAAAAAATATGCGGGCCACCCACAGAAGCGCAATGTTCCGGTATGGGGTTTTAGGCGTTCATGTTTGTTTCTCAGAACCGGTAAATAGGTGTTTTGACCATGGCACATCCAATGCTATGCCCACATCATGGGCTGTCAGATTCCGTCAAACAGGGTGTGCCCTAGGACCTATATAGATTGGTTTACGCCTCAGCAACTACCCAGTCATGCAATAGCCGATCAGCTTCCCTCTACATAATTGGGTTTGGAGGTCTCTGGGTGGTTTCCCATTTGCCCTCTGCAAGAACGAGGGAAACCACCAATCCTAACCAACAAGTAAGGGGTGCCTGAGCCAATGACGGCAACAACATGCAAAGAGATCCACCAGGCCCCCAGATCTTTACGTCTACGACGGTGTCCGCCTACTTTTGCATGGGTTATACACCCATTTTGCTAGGGAGCAGTGATTTGGGCATAGTGGGAACCACACTATCTGAGACTAAACGACCACATGCATGCGTGGTATGTAGCACGTGCATGTCCCCTTCAAACATCACCACAGCCAAACGAGACCAAGCATAAAATGGCAACCCAAGAGTACCCTCCCACCAAACATGGAACTGCACCTCTTTACAAAGACGATTTTTCAGCTTGGAAATGGAGTTTGTGTTCTTTCATGATTGTCGGTGGGATGGCCACGTTTCAATGATTAAGCCGAGCAAAAGGGGAACTTCAGGACTTTTGTTTCAAGCCCACCTCAGCCTTTGCCCACCAAAACAATCTTGATTCTGCCCGATAGTTCGTGAATCTGAAAATGTAATACTGTGGATGGACAATATCACAAGAGATCCTAGGAGCAACCAGCAAATAACTTACAACCAAATTGTGAATTAGATTAACTTGGGGGTTTTGCCATGTACCCTGTACAAAAGCCAGGCATTTTTGAACCACCAATTAATTCCCTGGGCTGTCCTCAGATTCCCCGCCAACAGCTTAATTTTTAGCTGAGTTGAACCAAATAGCTGGGAACACCAGCTATCTGGGGGCGGAGCCAAGAATTACCCACAGTCCACAGCCAAAAGCTCTGCTCCACCAACTCTTGGGGCAGCCCTGAGTTCTTGATGAAGGTGTCGATCCTGGCCGCAGGCTTTCCTCCATTTCCGTTTGTGGACCCTCCAAACGCAGCACTTTTAGTGGAAACCACCAGTCAATTGATCAACTTGTTAAGTGGAAATCCAGTGAACCCTTTCTCACGGGTCACAAATGCCCGACATCTGGCGCAGGGTCACTTCCAACTTTGAAACCACCAGATAAAATATGGGAATTTCTGCTCTACCCCCTACGTTGGCCCTAAGCTAACCTTGATTCTACAGGTGGAACACAAAGATATGAGAAAACGGGGGTTTTGCAGTAGTGGAGGGCCACGCCCCGCAAATAAATTGCTTCATACATACCCCCCACCCTACATTTTTTTTCATCTTCCATCTTCTACCCTTATTTGTTTTCATCATTTTTCTACATTCCTTTCTGTCCATCTCATCCGTTTTTTTTTATCATCATTTTTCCAAAATTTTCGCCATCCTTTTCTCCTTTCTCCTCGCCTCATTCATTTCACCAACTACCCTCCAAAATGTCATTTCCTCAATCTCCTCACCTCATCCATTTCAAAAAAAAATAAATTTTGCAAAATATATTGCAAAAAATATTTGTCATCAAAAAATATCTGAATCATAGAAAACGATTTATGTCCATTCTCCTGATGCTGTTTCACAACAGCAACAATAAATTCTCCTTCGCTTTCATCACTTATCATACACGAGTTTAGCGTAATGATAGCAGGAAGCCATACGCCATGTCCCTTGTATGATTTTATCTTCAAATATACAAAATCACTATACTACTAGTAATTATGTTATAAGGGTATACGTATTATTATGGTATGATTAACCCTTTCCAGAAAATGAAATTGATTGCGCTCTCGAAAATTGGGATTGGAGTCTCGAACAGACTGAGTCCCTAATCCCATGCATTTGGGATTGGAGTCTCGAAAATTTGGGATTGGAGTCTCAAAATTGGGATTGGAGTCTCAAAATTGGGATTGAGTCTCGGTACTGGGATTGAGTCCTGGTCCCATGCATTTGGGACTGGAGTCCCCGAAAATTGGGACTGGAGTCCCCGAAAATTGGGACTGGAGTCCCCAAATCCCAAACATTTGGGACTCGAATCCCCAATCCCACGCATTTGGGACTCGAATCCCCTAATTTTGGGACTGGTGTTTTCTAAATGTGATAAACTATGGATATTCCCCTTAAAATTCATTATTTTCAAATTTTATAATTCCTATTTTTTACTGTGTTGTCGTTGGATGAACCTAGAAATTTCAAGTTTCAACTCCAACCCCAAACTCGAAATCCTTAATCCGTCAAACTCACCAAGATTTCACAAATTAATTCGCTAGGTATTTTGTATAGGTCTTCCTGCTTATGTATTGTTGGATTGTCTCCCCATTGTTCCTTGTTTCCACTTGGCAAACGTTGCGCAGTTTCAATATGTTTATTATTCCTGATGTTACCACAATCCTTTTTACATAATTCTCTAGGTTTCCAAGTTGTAATGTTATTCCAGAGCCTAGTGCGCTTTCTGTAAGGCATTCCATAATTACAATAATCAACATCTTTAAAATCAAACTCATCCATAAACTCCTGATGTTTTAATAATCCAGTTTGTGGATTTTCGATTACAAAATATTTAGGATTGAAATATTTGATAATCTCAATAGTTTTTAAGACAATATTATTTGCATATTCGATATTCCTAATTCCCCTAGTTTTTGCTATGCTGTATTCAGTGCATGGGGGACTACTCCAAATAAAGTCAAAATGGTTTCTGTCAAACTGTTTGTAATCCCACTCCAAAATATCAGTGTTGATATCAGCATTTTTCAAGTCTAATGATATCACATTAAATCCAAGCGACTTTGCTATGGTTCCGACGCTTTTTGTTCCGCTAAATAATTCTAATAAATTAATTTATTAGAATTATTTAGATATTAATTATTCAAATAATACATATACTTCATCATCATTTTTTGTAATTTTATAAAACTCTAATGTTTGTTGCTTTGGTTGTTTGATTTTTCCTGTATTCAACATATCACAGTATTTCTTTTGTTTTGTTTCATAACTGCCCTGCGGACGTCCCAAGCCACGGCTTTCAAATATCTGTTCGATTTTCTCCTTCTCTTCGTTGCTTTGTTGTTCGCGTTCAACTGGTTTAAGTTTTTCATCAATGGATTTAATCATATCATTTAAGGTTTTAATATTTCTATCAATTAATGTTATCTTCTTCATTAAATCATTAATAGTATAATTCTCATTTTCAGACATTACTATATATTTATTTAGATATTTATTTATTTAATTATATATTTTTCATCATTTGTTTAACAGTTTCTTGTGTTTCGTTTTCATTATTATCCACGAGTGATGCATCCTTACCCCATTTAAAAGTTATATTGTGGACATCAGTTTCTAAGTTGATACTGTCTTTAGTTTTATCAATACTCATTTTCTTATCATTTTTACTTATTTTGAAACTTGTTGGAATACATGAACATTTACAATTTTTATTATTTTTTATTTCTAATTCATTTTTCATTTCTAACATCTTTTTACGTACCATTGATGCTGAAATTTAATATTGTTGAGCTTTTTAACAAATTTCTCCGCTTATCTTCTGTTGAAATATAAGACTTCAAACCTGTCTTATCTTTGTTTTTCTTTTCTTTTTCTACCATTTAGTTAAAAAAAACATTTATAATAATATTTACATTTTTATTTTGAAGGCTTCAATGTTCTAAATAATTACGAATAATAATAAGTATTTTAGGTTTTATTATCAGCATCATTACTTGTTCTATACCTTTCAATTATTCATTATAATAAATAAGCAAATTCAAATTGTATATTATATTTAAAATAATAAGATAAATTATTTTTTCATTTCTGTCTTTCTTTTCTTATAAAGTTTTTTCATCGTATCGTCTTTATTCCATCTCTGTTCTACAAGTTTCTGATGATGTTTTGAATTTAGATGTTTAAATAAATATTTGCTATCATAAGTTTTACAACAATTGCAATGGATAACAGTCATATAATAATAAGATAAAATAATTATTTAAATTATTTAATTTTATTATTTTCATGCATAATAGAATATTGGTGGGGCACAGCACTTGGGGTTTTCATTGCACACGCGAGAGAGATACAAACTAATTAGCTTCAATGCTTATTGATTGAATCAATGGAAAACCTGTTCCATTTTATGATATTCGCCACCAGCATATCATAAAACGATGTTCCATTAATATTAAAGTTAATGTAATATAATTTTTATATTTCCTTTTAATATCACTCATGATAAGATGTTCTAACAATAAAAATTCACAAAATATAATCATTATGAATTCATAATCCAAATATGAGTATCGCATAAAATTACTATCTAGAAGCATTATGTTGCTTCTTCCTATTGCCATGCATCGTCCTTATCCAAAATTTATTACTGAAATGTTTATGAAACTATCTGCAAAGAAATATTTATATTTTACCTAGCCGTCTATACCCATCTCTATACTATGCAAGGCAACTCGTTGCTTCAGGATGAATTGCACTGGAAGGTTGACAAGAACAAATTTATTTTGATAATTATAATTCAAGTGATTTAGAAAATGTAATTGAAAGACAGAAGAAAATAATTAATTATATGAAATCTAAAAAGAT